GTGAAATAGGAAGGTTTAAGCTGAAATAATGTGATTTTCGAGCTCAAATGAGATTTCTGGGCTAGGGGAATCGGTACCCATTCAAGGGGAATCGATTCCCCCTCAAACGAATATGAATTCCAGAATGCTAGAGGGGAATCGATACCCCCAGGGGGGGAACCGATTCCCCCATAATAAAAAAAAAAGAAGAAAGAAGAGAGACTAAACTATTAATCTCTTAAATTGGTAGGATATTAGAGGTTAATTTCAAGACTTGGGCATCTGATAATCATCTTGAAAATTATGCTTATGTAGATATTGAACGTGACTTTGCTTCAAAGTAAACGAAGGGTTAGAATTGATTCAATTCAAACAAGGCTAAGGTGAGTGCATGTGCATAACAGGATTATGTTAATATATTCAGTTTTAGAACTGCGATAAGTCTAGATTTAATATCTTGATACATGATTCAATATTATTAAATATGATAGGAATTCATACCATATACATTATGGGATATACTATGCAGATTGTGGTAAGTCTATGTTCCAGATTAGAGCTTATATATGAATGAGTTACGATATATCTATATTAAGTATATGAAGTGTGTGTACTGTGTTTGTTATGGTTTATATGTATGAATGAGCATATGTATTGACATGTTAAATATATATTATATGAGTTGTGTAAGTATGTAGATAAATGTGTTAAATATGTGAAATAGTTAAAATGTTTGATATGATTTCATAAGAATATGAAGTAAGAAGTATGAAAAGGACATAAGAAAGAATATGAAATAAGAAGTATGAAAAGGACATAAGAAAGAATATGAAATATACAGAATATGAATATGAAATCACATGAGGGATGACATATAGGTATGTATGTATGTAATGGTTATATGAAAAGGTATAGGTAATAAGATGATCATATGAACATGTGATAAAGAGCTATAGAAAAAGAAAAATGTGATATGATGTATGAATATGTAATAAGGTAAGAGACAATGCCATGAGATGAGTTATGAGAACTGTAAGTATAGTTGGTATGCCAAGAGTCAAAGAACTACCTATGTCTTTCGAGACATATGGACAGTATACCTATGTTCTAAGGAACATATGGATAGTTACCGAGGATCTTTATGACCTGGACAGTTACCGAGGATCTTTATGACCTCTGGACAGTTACCGAGGATCTTTATGACCTCTGGACAGTTACCGAGGATCTTTATGACCTCTGGACAGTTACCGAGGATCTTTATGACCTCTGGACAGTTACCGAGGATCTTTATGACCTCTGGACAGTTACCGAGGATCTTTATGACCTCTGGACAGTTACCGAGGATCTTTATGACCTCTGGATAGGTCCTTCGGAAAAATTCATGGAGCTGTGGGAACAGCATACGTGTGCACAATCTCATAATACTCGTATACCTTGGGTTCTCAATAGTGTATATGGGCTTAAATAAGACATAACGAGGATGTATATAGTTGTATCTTAATATGGTATTATTACGATTTATATTGGCTCATATGTGGTATAATAAATGATGGTATGATAGTATAAGTGTTAGATAGTAGACGACATGTTTATTTTAATAATTCTTTATTATGTAATTATGCCTCACTAAGTCTATGACTTAGCGTGTAAGTGTTTTTACACGTAGGTTTCGAAGAGCAGGAGAATCAAGAATAGGAATTTGCAGATCAACCTATCTCTACTCAGCGATCAGATCAGAAGTAAAGTCACAGTAGGTATTTTGTTGTATGTAGTGTGTTGGCATGTATGAACAGTGTTAGTTCAAATGCTCCGATTAGTTTTGTCTTGTTTTGGTAAACTCGTGTGCAGTGACAATGTTATTTTAATAAAAGTTTTAAATTTCATTGGTTTTCGTTAAAAGATTAAAGTTTGAAAAGTCAATGTGACACCTCAGACTTGTATCCGGGTCGGATACGGGTTGAGGGTGTTACATCTATCTCCTCCTGATCCTCCAATAGAGTAGACTTTGCTTAGTGTCGATTTTTGCTTTAGATTTAGAACCTTGAATCGATAAACATTTTGATGTGTTTTGGATTGACTGTTTGAATTTGTTGTGGATGTTGAATGTTTAACTTTTAATGCTTATATTTATTTGGTTTAGTTTAAGTTTATAAGGGGAGTAATTTTTAAGAGTTTTTAAGAGTAAGCGGGGTAATATATTTTCAAAGTATAAGGGGGAGTAATTTTTCAAAACTTGATTTCAAAAATATTTTTCAATTAGAAAATCTTAAAATTACAAAAAAAAAATTGTTATATCAAAAAGGGGAGATTGTTGAAATATTTTGATGTTTCGATATAACAAATTAAATGTTATTGGATTCCAAGATCTTCTAATCATTTTCAAATATATATTCGATCAAATTATTCGAATATCGAAATATTACTCCATGTTTTTCAAATGTCAAATTCAATCCTTACTCAAGTGCAAAAGTGTGTTTTAATCTTTTAAACAATTTTACAAAGTATTTCGAGCATTTAATCGAGCCAAAAATATTTTCTTAATAATTCTTAAATAGAAATAACATATTGCTAGGAGGGTACCGATACCCCCAAGAGGGAACCGATACCCCGTGTAAGATTTGGCTCCGAGAAATAACAGATTGCTCGGAGGGTATCGGTACCCTTGCTCGGAGGGTATCGGTACCCTTGCTCGGAGGGTACCGATACCCCCCAAGAGGGTACTGATACCCCCATGTAAGATTTGGCTTCGAGAAATAACAGATTGCTCGGAGGGTACCGATAACCCCCAAGAGGTACCAATACCCCCATCTTATAACGGTTGAAATATTTGAATTTTACACAGCAGGGTATCGATACCCTATGCAGGGGTAACGATACCCCCCAACACTCTAAGCTATTTTATTAATTGTTTTCACGCAATAACGGCTCTATTAACTCCACTAATGTTCCCCAATATTTAGAAATGATCGAAGGAGTATTTAAACAAGTTTAGAAGCCATTTATCAACAACAATTATCAAGAATCAAGAGAGAATCAAAGAGAAAATATCAAACCTCAAGTTTAAGTATTTTTCAAGTCTATTTCATTCAATATTCATTTTTGCTTTCAAGAACACTTATTGTGCTCAATTGTATTATTCTTGAGTGTTCTTTCTTTGTTCTAGAATTGTGTAAACATCTTTCCATGTGAGGATTTTTTTGTAAGTTTGCAAAATTTGTATTGTTCTCTTTGGGAGAGAGTGTTCTCAAGAATTTGTGGTATAATTCTTGAGGGATTTTTAAGGTTACTCTTTGTCCTCAAAAGAAAGACAAATTAGTGAATTTGTGGAAAATCCTAGTGTGGATAGCTAAGGTAGTGGACGTAGACTTTGGTTAAGAAAGTTGAACCACTCTAAATTACTGTGCAAATATTTTCAATTTTCTGCAAAAGCTTCCACCGAAATTTTTATGGCCAATTCACCCCCTCCTGGCTTATTTTATCGATTGATTAACTCAACAAGTCAGGTCGGATCGGGTCTGGCCGGGTCAAACCGGTTCAAACAGGTCAAACCGATTTTTTTTTCTTCTTTCCACGTGCATAACCATCCCCACACGCAGGAGGTGGCGCGTGGGACGCGTGCGGTGTCAAAATATTTCTGGAAAAATTTCTAAAAATTAATTTAAGGCATTTTGAGACACTTACCAAGCTTGGTTCACAATTTTGAACGGCGGAGAGCTCGATTCTGAAACATCGAAAACTTTAACTTCCTCACCCCTCTAACTACCGGTGACGATGGAAACACGGAGGTCACCGGTAGACTCAGAACGATGCAAGGAACACGATGGTGTGGGAGGTGTTGAAAACGGGTGGTCGAATCGACGTGAATCGACGGAAAACCAAAGAAAATTGAATTAAAACCGATGATACTTCTGACTGAAATTAACGACGAACGACGACGATTCACTACGAAAGGTTTGAGGGATTTTATCCATCTTTCGACAAAGAACACGATGGTGGTTTCGGTTCGTCAAACGGTGGTCGGACAATGAGTAGATCGGAGTGGAAAGGAGGGTCAAAGGGGAAAGGAGGGTCAAAGGGAAAGGGAAACTGAGAAAAATCTACAGAAACAATCGGGGGAGAGAGTTTATAATTCTCTCCAAAAGAAAAATGGGTAAATCATGAGTTTAGTCACTGAATTTCCAGCACTTCCTAAAATGGTCTGTCAACTTTGAAATCTTACAATTCAATCTTCAATTTCTTCCAAAATACCAATTAAATCTCATATTTTATAACTCTAAAAATTTAGCCCCTAAATTGGGGTATTACACAAACTGTTCCTGGACCGTAGGTTTTAGTCAGGCCATATACGTGGACTACTTTCAATCCCAGTTCTTCCATTTTTAGAAGTATGCGAGGGAGTAGCGGTGAGGCTCCCGTCATGACCACAACCTTCCCCGTAAGACGCCTTTGGTCGCTAGTCGGTGCGTTGATTAAGCGAAATGATCGAAAAGGAAGGTTGGATAAACAAAATAAGATAAATTTAGCGTGGAGGAAATAAGTGCGCAAATCAACTGAAAATTTGTTCATACTCGTTTATTTAGCTTAGACGTTATACGAACGGTTCACAAAACACAATGTTCATTTACACTCCTACTTTTTATTATGTCTTTGTTATTAAGACATTGAATGTCGTTAGATTGATAATATAACATGCTAGTTTAATTCTTATTTTAACTATGAATTTTAGATAAAATATTAACTATGACTTTTTTTATAAATTTAAAATAATTTAAAAATGAAAATTTATGTTATCTTTTTTTTAATATATTTTCTTCTTAAATCCTATTTCCCCACTTACACCTAACACTCTGAAGTAATATTTTCGTTTAAAAACTAATTTGGTGGTCAAAATAGGAAAAAATAATTAATTAATGACCGAGTTAACTGTAGACCGTCGGATCAAATCATTGGATATGACCGTTTGAAACGCTAAGTCCGCCAATGCAAATTTAAATTTTAAACAACTTGTCGTAAACTTTTCGTCAATACTCTGTTTCCCCTCTTTGAATCTCCGCAGTTTCTTTCTGCAAGAAAAAAAAAGATATCTTTCAATCATCATGTCGAAGATGAAATATGATCGGAAGCCACCGCTTGCTGCTAAATCGCCTATCCGCTTACCTCCCGGCCGCTCTCTCCGATCAAACTCCGCCTCTCTGCAAACCCCACCAGGTTATCTCCGCTCAAGAACTCGTAACCAACTTTTGTTTCTTTTTACTGTAAAACGATAAATAATTTTCTTTTCATTTCATTTTTTTGTTTGTTAAAGGTTCTTTAACTAAATCCAAGAAGCCGATCCATACATGGGGAGTTGAAGAATCTCAAATCCGTCCCGAGTACCTCTCCATTTCTTGCGAGTTACGGGCTTTGGCTCGGAAAGTTAAAGATGAACTCGGAAATGAGGAAAAGGAGAAGGCTGGTTTAGGCGATGAGACTATTCTCAGCGCCAACAAATCTTGTCCGGTGTTCGAGAGGGGCCGATTGTACGACGAGTACTCGGCAAGGAGAGACGAGAGGCTAAAGAGAAAAAAAGGCGAAAAGGAAAACGAACCAATGACAGGTCATCAACTTGGAGTAAAAGTTGAATCTTCAAAGAGAAGAGGGCAATCGAAGAAGCTTGAGAGCTTGAAGAGGTCGGCAATGGAGATGGAGACTCCAAGGTATCTGCTACGGAGCATGAACACAGAGAATAAGAAGCCTCCTCTTGCAGTGTCTGTCACTGCCACTCGGAAGAAAACAGCGGCTAGAAGAGTTGCTAAGTAAGCTCTGAAAGTTGGGAATTTAGGCTTTTTTTTCCCTTTTTAATTTCAAGTAATTTTGAATGTTTGAATAGAAACTACATATATTTCAATATTCGAAGTGTGTTTGATTTCTGGTTACTCTACCAGATAATATTTGAATATGAACACAATCATTGTTTGATTAGTTCCAGTGCTACAACACATGGTTCTAAACATGAACACAATTATTGTTGTCTACATAATATTTACAACTGCAAAATAAAATAAAATTCCATGCTTACTCGGTCCTCGCACTATTATTATTCACAAAACAAAAACTAAGCACTTAGGGGATTCAGTAATCAAATCCGTCCGGTGGGATTTGTGTTGGAGCCGAAAAGCTTATTCATTCGACATTCCCTCCTCTGTCTCTTCCACTTCATGATCATTTAGCTTATTAGCTACAATCATTTCGTCTACCACAGAAACTGTCTCTCCAATACTTTCCGGCTTTGCTCCGTCGTTTTGTGATTTCTCATCAACACTGCCCAAGTAACGCTCATTAGTTTCTCCTGGATTCTGTTCAGCTCCATGAGCAACCTGGGAAGAATCTTAAGAAATCTGTCAAGTTAAGTTTTTCATCTCTAGGGTAAGCGGCCAATACAAAAAGGCACAGATTTGATCACCTACCAAGATAGTCGACTCTTCAACATTCTCATGCTCTGGTGCATCCACTTTTAACGTCTCGTCGACACTGCTTAAGTCGGCGTCATTAGTTTCTTTTAGACTTTCGTCCACTTTATAATAAACCTGTGGAAATTTTGTAAGAGATCTTTCAATTTACGTTTTCCTTCTAAGGAAGGCACAAAGACCATAGATACACGTGGAGATTTGATGCCCATATTCAAAGTTTCAAAAGCTATAAGCCTAAGTGCACAATGATAAATATACACAATAATCCTCAGCAAAGTATGGTAAGTAGGAAGTCAGGTGCATTTTCATGCCGATTAAAAGACGGAATTGAGTTGTTAGTAGGCCGTGGTGGATATAAATGATACGGTATAATCAGAAACACCGGGAAGAGATAATCATACCACACATGTGCGAGCTGGTGACAGTACTTTGAAAGAATTAGGGCGATTGTTGAAGTTAGTTTCAGGCACACCCGGAATTCCTTCAGGAGATGTAAAATGATCCACATCATGAGCCACCTACCAGAATAATTAATTATAGCATTACTATGAGAGAAAACAATGCATAAATGAGAAAAAGAGGCTTTAGATGCTATTGCTTCATTAGTAGCCGGTATCAGGGTAGACAAATTGTGGTTAGCAACTTATAGGACCACAACCCATTCCTATACCCAAGGAAACAATCAAAATTGTTTTCATGTTCCCATAAAGTTCATGAAATTAGTAGCTGTAGACTTCCGATTACATGGAAGAAAACAAGCCAGATAACATGACTCTTATCCCAATAGAAAAAGGCAAGAATGACAACAATAGCAGGAGTTTCTTACTCTTCCATGCCCACCAAATTCCCAAGCATCACTATCCAACGCAACTCTATACTTCCCTGGCAAGTCACACCCTACTTTGTACCTGCATGTTTCGCACAATAGTCACTCAAAGAGTTTTAAGGTGCAAGTAATTACTTTCTGGTATATATAGATAAGTAGACTAGTCTCCATTCATAAATGAATCCTTGCACAAACACACAAATAAAAAAATATATATGTTTTAATGATTTGAAGCATACATACCCGTCATATGTATTTTCTTGATGAAAGTTAAACACAAAAACAAGATCTCCCCTCTCGAAGACGATAACCTAAATCAGGAAATCATTATCGAATCCACCAAAACTGAAGTGGTTAAAACATGGCAACATAAGGTTATAAGGCAAAGAAGAACTAAACAAGGGTGTAGTGCCATTATCTCCATCCGTTAGAAGTATAAAGAAGAAAAGAAAAGAAAAAAAAAACACCAGCATGATGACATAACAAGAAACCATCCATTATACTAATTACCAAACGTGTTTGGAACTCATAAAAGGAAATAATAATCTTGTTTGTTGGCCATTGCAGTCTTTTGGTTTTCCAATAACCATAAAAAAGAGAGTGATAAACAATTTATTATTTCTAAAATTTAAAAGTTTAATCCTAACAATGTCAAATAACTTTGATTATCAACAATATGCATGTATTTTGCATCATGAATCAGATGGACTGCTGCAACTGTCTTACTCTAACCACCAACTGCCATTGTAGATTTACCTTGTTTTCTTCATCAGTGCAGCTCACTATCTGCTTAGCCGATGAAAGGAATGGAGATTTATCATCAAGTGCATTCATAGCTCTATCAAATGCAATCATGAACTGCAAAGCCAAATGCAAAGGGAAAAGTTTAGGTAAAGATTGCATGGGAGGAGCAAACCACTCCTGAATTGAGAAAGATAAAATAGGTAAGATACAACAGTGATTAATAGTGAAGAAACTTCAGTTTATAAAATAAGATTATACAGATGCCTTCAAAGTTAAAAAGGCAGGTGAGAAGTGTTTATGTTTCCACAATGATCTGCCCACTGGAAATAATGCACGGAAACTTTAATAAATTCTTAACAAGGAAAATGACCATGGACCTTGTATCGTAAGTGATCGGTATCCACCAGGTTCCACTGTCTTCTGCACTTTTCGTAGCTCCACCCATTGCCTTCTCTCGGAAAGTCAATCCATTCAGGATGCCCAAACTGTACAAACATGCAGAGGAGATATCTACTAAACTTATTTGTTAAAAGAGAAAACAAACCCTTATATTCGAAAATTGCCCTCTAGACAGGTATAGCCTATAACCCCTTTATTTCTTTTAGTGTCTTTTTTACTTAAATGGACTGGGCAGATCTTCATTGGTTCATCCTACGTTCCTATACTTAATAATATCTCCAATATCCACCCAAATAAGATATTGATGTACTGTCCAGTATGAAAAAGTTGAGCTAGAATGTTTACCTCATTTCCCATAAAATTAAGGTAGCCTTCTCCTCCCAATGCCATAGTGATAAAATGTATCATCTGCATAAGAAATTTTAAATAAAGGAAAAATGTTAGGGGTGAGAAAGTAACAAAGAAAATGATCTATTGCTGATGCAAAATATGATGGCTGAATAAAATAATCAGAGTTCCATATTTGCAGTTTTTCAGAACAACACACAGATTCATGGTTGCTGTAATTCATCAAGGCAAGACATTAAGGAAACAACAGAGAAAAGCCTATAAGTTTTGAGCTAGTACCAACCTTGTGAAGTGCAATCCCTCGTTCAATGGCAGGAGAAGCATCTCCTAAACATGACATGCCAGAGTACATTTCTTTGTCCATCAGGAAAAAGGCTATTGTCTTGTCACCAATAATAGACTGCACCAAACAAGAGTGGTATCAGAGAAGCGTGAGAAATTGCAAAATATACAAACAATAAAAGCAAAGGAAACATTAAGAAGTGCAAATGTGGTGTCAGATTCAGGCTTTGCTTAGGGACAGAGAAGATAGTAAGCATTTTATTACTCAAGCATTCTTTATGTTATATCTCTTTCTGTCATCATCCAAAATTGAGAAAAACAAAGTCCAAAGGAAAAGAAGTTCTGGTGTCATAAAGAAATGGTTTAACTAAATGTAGAAATAGTTTGGTGAGAAAAACAATTCCTCACTGTTTATACCTGATCGTGACTTTCAGCATAGGATATACACTTCTCAGTGCGTCTCCTATTTGTCAAGTTCCAGGATAAATCCTTCATTGACCACTGTTCATCATTCTTATTCTTCAAGTAATCAATCCACTTGTCAGGGATGGCCATTGCTAGGCGGTAGTCAAAACCAATTCCTCCTTCAGAGACAGGCCTACCAAGTCCAGGCATACCAGAAACATCTTCAGCAATTACAGTCGCATCCGGCAAGATGCTATGTATCAGAGAATTGGCCAGCATTAAATAAACAACAGCATCAACATCATTAGCCTCGCTGAAATACTCGTTGTAATTCCCCGTGAATGCCATGTTGATACCGTGGTGATGATACAACATGGAGGTCACTCCATCAAACCTAAACCCATCAAATTTGAACTCCTCAAGCCACCACCTCAAGTTTGAAAGGAGGAAGCGAAGGACTTCCCAATTACCATAATTAAACAGTCGACTATCCCATAACTTGTGGTAGCCTCTTTCGCCAGTGTGAAAATATGATTCCTGTGAACTTTGACCAACATCAAAGCCATTGAGTCCATCAGTGACATTGTTACTTGCATGGCTGTGAACAACATCCATTAAGACCCGTAGACCTAAGCTGTGAGCTTTATCAATTAAATATTTGAGGTCCTCAGGAGTTCCAGATCTACTGCTTGCAGAAAAAAAGTTCGTAACATGGTATCCAAATGAAGCATAGTAGGAATGCTCCATTACAGCCATCAATTGTATAGTATTATAGTTATTTGCCTTAATGCGGGGTAAAACTTCATCAGCAAATTCTCTGTATGAACTAATACGTGGTTCTGAGCTACTCATTCCAACATGCGCTTCATATATTCTTGGGGCTTTAGGTTTTGGAGGACGAGGGTACTTAAACTCATACCTGCATTATCAATTAAGAGTACATTAAATGGAACAATTTCGAGATCACATATATTAAAATTAGAAAATCAGCAATATTAAAAGAATAAGGCAGCAAGTTTCCAATCTCAAGCAATATTATACTGATTTTAGTAATGGTTTCTAAGTTCTGAAATAAAAGACTAAACAAGTACTACAATGTCCAAAACCCTGCACCACACAGTTGTTTCTTCTTCTTCTTCTCCCTTTTTTGGGCCTAGACACAACACTTTTGTTGACTACTAACTATGCTTCTTTTAGTTTAAATGAAATCATGAGTAAAAATATAAATCAAATAAAAACTGAAGAAATTGCACCTTTCTGAAGCTGGAGGATCCCAAAGCACGCCGTCATATGGTGCTCCAAATGTGTTAGGGTCTACAGAGGCATACTTAACCCAAGCAGGAATCCTATCTACCCAAACTCCATCACCATGCTT